TTTAAATATTTATGGTGAAGGGACAAATTTTCTTATCGTTTGACTGGTTAAAAATATGAAAAGAGCTACAACTTAGGACACGTCTACAAATCTTTTTACTCGTGTCAACAAGAGGTTGAACTATCAAACTTTGATAAATGTTGTTTGAGATGTTTGTAGGTGGTGATACTTATAGGAAATCAATCCAGTGGAGCAGACATTAGCAAGGACATAGCAACCATGGCAAAAGAAGTCCACATTGCAGCTAAATCCAATACATACGAAAAGCTGAGTTCCTGGCATAGCAACATACAGATTCATCCCACGGTAACAAAAGAAAATAACAATTACTACATTTAACCCCCCCCCCCCTCCCCTTTCCAACCCCTTGATATATGTCGCAGATAGACCGTGCCTACAAGGATGGTTCGGTTGTTTTCCAAGATGGGAAAGTCGTGTACGCCGATGCCATAGTGCATTGCACCGGTTACAATTATCGCTTCCCTTTTCTCGAAACCAACGGTTATGTGACCATCGAGGATAACCGTGTTGGACCACTCTACAAGCATGTCTTTCCGCCGGCGCTTGCCCCCGGGCTCTCCTTTATCGGGTTACTTTCAATGGTTAGTACTAAATGTTATAAGGATACATGTAATTTATTGTATATTAGATGTAATGACAGCTACGGAATTTCGAATCCACTCAAAGTTAGGATTGAGTATTTGTTGCCATAGCATGCCAAAGCTACATGTACATGAACTATATAGAGAATGCAAAACTACTAAGCGGTAGCAGTTTGAATTTATATATGATGGTATTGTTTCTTTGATTCGAAATATTAATCTTGCACGTAATCTTTTGAAATCTCAAGAAAAACTTCAAAAGATTTTGTTTTCTCATTGGCTCATCACATGGTTTGATTTTGTTCTAAATACAGGCGCTACAATTCTTTATGTTTGAGCTCCAAAGCAAATGGGTCGCGTCGGTTCTATCAGGTCGTGTTAAGCTTCCTTCGAAGGACAAAATGATGGAAGATGTTATAGCTTTCGATACGAAAATCTTGAATCTTTGGATATTCCCAAGAGATTTACGCATTTTCTAACTGATCCCCAATGGACTCCGATGTTCGAAAATCTTAAGCCACATGAAGCGGTTTTGATCTCACAAAGTGAGTACTTCAATTGGGTCGCAGAACAATGTGGTTGCCCATCCATTGAAAATTGGAGAAAGGAACAATATAATATCGCCATCAAGAGAGACAGTGCCACTTTTCGTGATGATTCATGGGATGATAATGATCAACTTATCAAAGAAGCAAACCGGGATTTCGCTAAATTCAAACTGAGCAAAGTTTGTTCTACCTAGTCTCAATAATTCTGGTGAGCTAGAGGTATTTCGAAAGAAAAAGCGCCTCAAGAGTCAAGATCAAAAGTTTGGATTTTGTTGTTGGAAAAGAGACCAAATTTACCTGTTTTGACTTCCGAAATCATAGATTAGAAGGACCAAAACTTCTTCCTACTCCAAGTTAACAAGCTTTTTTCGTGCGTGCTTCAATCCAAATATGATTGATGTATAACAAAGTTTGAACTTGCTAGTATTTTGAGAATAATTTATGAACACAAATTAGATTTCGATTCAATTACACAACCTAAATTGTTTCCACAAAGTTTATGTTTTCACTGCATAGTTTTATACTTATAAGGTTTATGTTATTTTATATATAAAAAAAAATCTGCCAATGACTATAGATCGGTGAGCTACCCTCTGTCCTAGTGTATCACATAAGTTCCACATGATTGAATTAATTTCTGTAGAGCCAATATATTTGAAAGTGGTTTTAACTTTTTAAGGGTATGTAATTATGTATCTATCTGAAAAAGGAGATACCAAGATGCCAAAAGTAATATCTCATTATCTCCCTTTTTAAAGCCTGTGTTATTCTCTAAGAGCATGTGCAATTATGTTTTTTTAAATCAAGTTCTTAAGATAAACATATTAAATTTAAATAAAAATTGGTTGTATTGCTAAAAACTGATTCTTAATTAAGAGATTTAAGAAATGGTTTTTAGGTACCATGTGTCATCCTTTAATTTGTGGATGATTTTTTTGAAAAAAAAAAAAACAATACGCATACAACGCATTTATTAAATGTAATATATTTTTCATTTTATTCAATGTATTATGTTTATAAATTTGAGAAAATAAATTATATTTAATAAAATATTTTCATATTTTTTATTATTATTAAGAATCCTTAATGAAATTCTACCGAGGAGGAAAAAATAAAAATCTATTGAAAATGTTCTTAGAACATATTGATGCAAAATATATAATAAACAAATTGGTTTGAACCCTATGAGGGGTTCCACCATTAAACATGGTCTTACACAATTATATGTGGTTTACATTGCATAACTATCATCGCTATTTGCATATCATAAAAATTCATGTAATTATGTGTTGATAGCAGTTTCAGAACAAGCTTAATATTGCTCTATAAAAGCTTAATCACAGAGATAAAAGAGATTGATATAATAAATATATTCAAATGTAAGAACAAAATAAAACAAAGAAGAAACTTAAGATTGTTACACTTTCGGCAGCCCTAGGTGGCTACATTATAATAATCGAACTAGTGGCTATAAATTTTTCTCAAAAAAAACTACTTGCTAGCAACTTAATTGTATTGGCTGCAAACATATGTTTATGGAATTTTCATTGCGTGCTCTAGTAGTCATGAATAGGAATTATAGAGGAAATACATACGTAACAAATGTTTGAATCAATTCAGTTGTGTTTTTAATTGAATTCAGTTGTGAGCTCGGATTCGTTATTGTAAACAACGTTGTCATCTCTGCAAAATCATTGAACACATGAATTTGATTTTATCTTCTCGCAAAGATTGAAAAAGAATTTAGTAGATCGTGTATATCAAATC